ATTGTCTCAGGGGCATCTTTACACAACATGCATCTGGAGTCTTGCCTGGTGTGGTAGACCCCAGCCTCTATGTGCTCAGAGCTTGTTCCTGTGCTGCCATGATTAGTGCATCTGTGCTGTCTTTCAGTCCGGCTTTGTCCAGCCACTGGTAGGATTTCTGGATGTTAGCCACTTCCTCTATCTGCCTGTGGTACATACCGTGCAGAGGCCTGTCCCTCCATAATGGTGCCTCCTCTTTCTCTGCATTCTTGGGTTTCTGCTGCCTGAGGTATTCATTGAGCAAGTGAATGAAGGCTCTTAGGATCCTGTTGACCTTTTATAGTTCTAGGCATTCCAAGATCCAGGTGTGCGGCATCGAGCCACAGGCCTTCTTGTAATCAATCCAGACAGTGCATAAGTTGGTCAGCCTGGTCTTGCAGTCTCAGGCAACTGCTCTGTCTACCAATAGCTCGCGTTTGGCTCCTCCTCTTGCCAATCCCTTTCTGTGCCCCGCTATCGAGCTATGTGTCTGTTCGTCTTAGCTGCTATGATGCTTGACAGGAGTTTCCATGTGGTACTGAGGCAGGTTATTGGCCGGTAGATGGATGGAACCGGTTCCTTCTGGGGGTTAACCATTCTGGGTGTCTCTCATCCACTAGCAGCTGGTTCATTTGTGCTGTCCAACTCTTCATACTGGAGACCTTTTCTTGGATGTCTGCCACTGTAATGGTTACTGGTCTCTGTTCAGGGAGGTTGCTGGGGTTTGCTCTTAGATCCACTAGCCACTGAGCATTGCCGTCATGTGTTGTGTCCTTCTCCCATATGCTCTTCCAGTATTGCTCAGTCTCTGTATACCTTGGATGGTTCTGCCTTCTATCTTTCTGGTGTACCTCTTAAAGCGGCTGGCCAAGGCTGTCAGTCTTTCCTTGGTAGTTTCCAAGGCCTCAGGTAGAGACAGCGTGCTGTACTTCTTAGGCACCTTCTTCATCGCACCATTTTGCAGCTCCTATAGTTGGCTAACTTTCCTCCGTGCTTCCTTGATCTTGGCCTTTAGCCTCCTTTTCCATGGACTGTACTGCTCCTTGTGGCTGTTCTACTTGTAGCCAAGCACCTCATTGATCACTGCTGCCATGATGTAGATCAGCTGGTTAGTTTCGGTGATGGTTGCAGTAGGTATGGTCCATAGTGCTGCATTCACATCACCTAGTAGATCCTCAAAGGGTATTTTACGTAGTCTTGGTAATCGGCTACAGAGAGTCCAGGTTTCAAGCTTTGCAATGTTCCTGTTTTTCAGGTCAGTTCCCAATCTCAGGTGGGCTGTTCCCCCCTTGCCGTTGCATGTGTGTGTGTGTATATAAAAAATAAAAATAAAAAAAATACTATTTTGCTATATCATATAGTACTCTGAAACTGAAGTGCATGATCCTGCTGTATAACCCATACAGCATGATAATGTTCTAATACACTTGCAAGTCATGACAAATGGTTTGCACTGCAGTTCTCATTGCCAAGGGTAGCACAACCAGTTCTTAGGTTTAGAGGACAAATGAACCTCTTTTCCACTAGTACCTACTCATCTTGAGTCAACTCAACTAGACTCAACTTGGATTAGGTTGTTTTCCAATATAACTGAATACCATACCAATATGTTCACACTGTGGGAGTTAGCTAGCTGGGAAAACCTCTTACCAGCTCACATCAAGAACATTTGTGTGGTAGCTATTACATCCTTGGAGACACAGCTTGTCCCTTGCAAAGCTTGTTCTTGAAACCATTTCATGACACTGGACATTTAAAAAAGAAAATCATTTGAGCATGGCTGGTTATTGATAATGCTTTCAGCAGACTGAAGGGAAGGTGCCGTTGCCTTCCTAGTCATGTCCCCACAAACGTACTCCTGTTTAATGTCACTATGAATTTTGACAATAAAGTTGTGTTCTGTCTCCATCTTTGTTTCTAAGTTTTATTTTTCCTGGTGACCAAGATTCAGTGATACAAATTAAATGTTAAAAGATACATTTAACTTGTTTGTGTTATGTTAAATCCTATTAAACACTAACAGAGTTATAGGAAATGCCGACACCAGTATGACACAGTTTCTTGATATACTGTTGCAATAACTAAAATGTGCAATATCTTCTGCATTGGCGCATCCAATAATATAGTGTTTTTTGTGATGACTTTACCTGGCGAAGAAGATTATTTCTTTTGGTTACTTTTTATTACAAATGAGCTGTCATTGCACCAAAATTTCACTGATAATTGTTTGGTTCATACTTTTTTCCTACTGGTGTTGTAACAGACAACCCCCCCCCAAAAAAAACAAAACAAAAAAAACTCACATACACAATGGTCACTGAATTCTTTATTATAGTCAGCAGCAAAATCCAAACGATTTACAATGTGCAAAATGAAGGCTGAAAAGTTAAACTATATACATTTATTGCATTCATGATGTAAAAATACTGGTGACTGCCAGTGCTACCCCTCAGCCTCCTACTAGCCACACCTATGGTATTAATTTCAAAATCCTACATTTTTGAGTTATTGCTTTCACAAGAGTTTCAGAAAACTTGACCTCTGACCTTTCAAGTCAAGGTCACTGAGATTTAAACCTGTCCCCGATTTTTAGTAGTTGCACCTATGGTTTCAATTTAAATGTCCTACGTGACTTCCTTCTTGAGTTATCACATTTACAAAATTAGGAGTCCATGCTGCACGCTCGCCAACAGGGTGACGACGATACCACATCAGCCTTTCATAGCTGAGGGGTAAAAATGTCACTCATGCTGGCAACTCATTGCCTGTACAAGCTCACCCAGCACAAAGAGGAATGCCTGGATGAAGGTAGCACTCTGTAATCTCCTTCCTCTGGAAGATGGCTTCTTGCTCCATTGCCTTACATCTCTCACTGAGAAGCAAATCGATTGTGCTGTTCATGGTGGGCCAGATTTAGGACACTGAGCATGCATCTCTTCAAGTACACTTGTCAGGTCCGGTTTGGTGTGGGTCCTCTTCCTCTTGCGAAAGGCAGAAATGGGAGATGGTTAATGAAAGCCAGTTTAAAAACAATATTGTGGAAATGCACTTGGAGCTAAAAATATTTTGTTCTTGGAAGTGACTACTTGGAGTTAGAGTTGATAGTTAACCATCTAGGTTATTGTCTGCATATAGGAGACAATGGTATTACCTTTAAAATATTCTTGTGAGTTCAAAGTGAGGATAATTAGCATAAAAGACGCATTAACCCATAAAGAACTCACCATCCTCATTATGGTTTCCAACAATGCTGTAGCCGAGTCAAGCCCAATCTTCCTCCTGTTGCTTGCCGGTCAGTGCCTGCAGATGCAGTCCATTTGATTGAACCATTTCCAATCGAACCACTCTGACTGTGGTGGTCCTTGATGGTCCTGCAATCGCTTTTATATTTGATAGGTTTTTGTTGAGATTGCTCTTGTACGTCCTCTGGTATCCCTGAGCAGCCATCAGCTCACAGATCTCCTGGTACACATTCTCATTTCAGGTTGTTCTGCCTGGTTCCTGCTATCATCAGTCACCAAGACCAAATAAATATGCATATCATGATTGGTCTAAGGTATTGGTTTTTGCGTAGACACTTCCCCAATTACAAAAATGGCAGGTTTGATTTTTGTGAAGGACTTGCTTTTATGTGACATTGAGTCAGTGGTTCCCAAACTTTTTTTTTCACTAGGCTCCTTTGTTTTACAAGAAAATCTTCGCACAGCCTCCTAAACTGCAGCCTATTTGTTGAATCAGAGGTTAGATCAATGAACTGTTCCTCCTTGGATGTGCTGAAGTCAGCAGGGGCTGTTCATCATATTTTCTTGTCTTTGGCTTGGAACGAAGTTAGTTTGGCGATGCTTCATCTTCTGCTTTGCATTTGCGTGGGAGCCCCCCCACAGCACTGAGTGATGTCACTGACTGGCAATCGGTGGAATGCAGTCTACCAATATCACATTTTTGGATCGACTCTGCTCACTTGGAATCCCAACAGATAGTAAAAAAGTACCTGGAATAAGGAACTACTACCCAATGGAAAACCCAAAAAACCGAGTCGAGCCAAGTGGAGCCAAGTAGGTACTAGTGGAACAGAAATATGACTCTTCCCCCCCCACCCCCCACACACACACACACACACACACACACACACACACACACTTTCACTTAGGCCTAGGCACATAAAAACTAATGCTAAGAAAGGTGGCAAAAACGTTTTCAAAGCAGTGTTTATTGTAGGGCATAGGCCTAGAAATCAAAACACACTTTATAGCTGGAATTGGAGTCACAAAATTTAAAAAAAAATTCACTTTCATGTTGGATTTAGAAAACAGGACAAATTGTATCACAAAACAGAGGACAGTGTAATCCACCCACAACGCCAAAGGTTTGTAGGAACCCTTCAGTTCCTACAAACACTACTTCCTCTACATTTGCGCGTACTTGAGTCTCAGATGTTGCAGTGAGGACACACTTGCAAACAATGTTCCCTCTAAGCTGCGCGCGTGCGCAATTGCGCACTGCTGGCGCGGTCTCTGCACACAAAAAATCTGCGTTGCGCACAAAAAAAAATTACAATTGAAACTTAACAATTCTGTTTTGCAGTGTTAGTCAGTAAGTGACTGGCTGCGCCCGTGTAAGTGGGCTAAAGCAGTTAATTAAAAGTAGTCTAACATAAATGTAAATGCTGTAATTTGCTTATTTTAATAAACCATATAATTTGGATGGATTCGATGCTGGCGTGACCACAGTAGACATGTCTGCTGTTGCTCACAGTGGTCCAAGGGACCGCTCAGGGAGTTTGTGTGTTCGCTCAGACACATGAAAAATTAGAGGGAACGTTGCTTGCAAAGTTGAAAGGTTTTTAGTAAATTCTGACTTTGGCACAGGGCTGGGGGTCAGGCTTGGTTTTACAACTCGTGATACAGTTGGCCACGGGTAAAGAGTATGTAATGCTTCCAGTGAAAAACCACACAAAGACACGTTTGACTTGCGCGCCTCACCTCATCTCTCCATCCTTTAAGGCAGGTTAAAGAGGGCTCCTGTCTGAGAGCTTGCAGTACATGACTCACAGCCTCGGATCTCTTTTCGTACGAGTCCAGGCCGTGGCAGAGGGTCACTGCACCCTGGTGTGGCGAACTGAACACGTCTGGATAGCGTGCTAAAAGCGAAGCTACGTGAGGAGGTATCCAGCCGACCTGGGCTCCTTCAATCTCAAAACGAAAGCAGCTTGAACGACACGAACCTGTGGAGAGAAATATAGACGTGGTTACTTATCAAACTGCCTTCATCCGTTTCATCCTTTCTCTTACTGTCACCCGCATACCTGGTAAATAAAAGTTATTCATTTTACGGAGGAGCTGGAGTATGTTTTCTGCCCAAGAACAACTAGCCATTTTAAATGTCTTTAAATAACTGCACACACAACTCAGCTGCTAGCACTGTAGCCACTCTACTGCGCATGCCCACGATACAGCCGCTGTTGTGAGATTTCTCCCTGAGATCTGCTTGTCAGGCAGCACTTCCACTGACCCGCTGGGTAACGGGAAAAATGACGGCAACAAAAAGGTCACTGAAGTAAAGATTCTTATTTTATTTTATTTTTTTGCCCATTCACATCTCATCTCCATCATTTTATCATGAGGTCTCCCCCCCACTAGTGCTATGCGATGATATTGCAAATTTTGGTAGTGATCCGATACAGGGCCTGCATATCAATACTGATACTGTAACTTATAAAGGCAGCTTATTTCGAGGAGAGCAGCCATGATCTTCATACATTTGCAAATTTGCAAACACATTATAATGACTACTAAGTCACTGTTATTTCCACTAACCTCCCCGTTCATATTCGCACTGCCGAGTCTATCCAGTCTTTTAAATTACGTCTTAAAACTTATTTTTTTACTTTGGCTTTTGATTCTGTCTAGTTGGCTGTTTTAGCTTGTTGCGTTGTTACCTATTGTTTGTTGTCCTCTTCTATTGTTTGTTTTAACTGTCTCATGTTTTTATTGACTGTGAAGCACTATGGTCAACACTGTTGTTTTTAATATGTGCTATATAAATAAATTTTGATTTGATTTCAGAATCAGAATCCTTTATTGATCCCTGGGGGAAATTATTTTTTGTTACAGTGCTCCATTTTAAACCAACATTAAGACAAGACAGACAATACACTAACTAAGAATAGTACAATATATACATATATATACACATACATACATTGTTACACCCCGGCCTAGGCAACCGGGGTGCAACGTAGAAAAACAAAGATAAGGAAAATAAAACCACGAAGGCTCTCCACCAAAATCCCAAAACGAAAATATCCCATGACGAAAGTATTAACAAACCCATTCACAACTATTTACAACAGACTATTTATTTACAACAAAAACACCAAACTATTTACAACACGGGGGAGATCGCGACCATGACATACTGAAACACAAGGCTTAAATACATAGAAGGAGCAATCAGGGAATGGACCACAGGAGGGAAACACAGCTGGGGCAAATTAGAACTGACGAGACAAGGAAAACGTAAACTGAACACACTAAGATAACACAGACTTTCAAAGTAAAGCAGGAAATACATAACAGTCACGCAAAAACAAAACACTGACACACCGAAACGTAACATTTCCCCCTACCCAAAAATCAAACATGTAACCCCAAGTGAAAAGTTTGATTCAGACAAACGAAGGCTGAAACGAAGGCAGACGAAGCTGATGGAGGCTGGAGCGGTCCCACTGACCCTCCAGCAGACGACGAAGGCTGGAGCGGTCCCTCGGACCCTCCAGCGAAGGCGGATGAAGGCTGGAGCGGTCCCACGGACCCTCCAGCGACGACAAAGGCTGGGGCGGTCCCACGGACCCTCCCCCAGCGAAGGCGGATGAAGGCAGACGAAGCTGATGGAGGCTGGAGCGGTCCCACGGACCCTCCAGCAGACGACGAAGGCTGGTGCGGTCCCCCGGACCCTCCAGCAGAGGCGGATGAAGGCTGGAGCGGTCCCTCGGACGCTCCAGCGAAGGCGGATGAGCAGCTCACTAGCTGCACACATGGACACGCAGCCCACCAGCTGCACACACGGACACGCAGCCCACCAGCTGCACACACGGACACGCAGCCCACCAGCTGCACACACGGACACGCAGCCCACCAGCTGCAGAAGGCTGGAGCGGTCCCTCGGATCCTCTAGCGAAGGCGGATGAAGGCTGGAGCGGTCCCCGGGCCCTCCAGCGAAGACAGACGGAGGCTGAAGCGGTCCTCGGACCCTCCAGCGAAGACAGAAGGCCGAAGCTGTCCCTCCTTCGGACCCTCCAGCGATCCCGGACGAGCCCCCATATGTTACACCCCGGCCTAGGCAACCGGCGTGCAACGTATGAAAATAGAAATAAGAAAAAAAAAAAACACGAAGGCTCTCCACCAAAATCCCAAAACGAAAATATCCCATGACGAAAGTATTAACAAACCCATTCACAACTATTTACAACAGACTATTTATTTACAACAAAAACACCAAACTATTTACAACACGGGGAGATCGCGACCATGACATACTGAAACACAGGGTTTAAATACATAGAAGGAGCAATCAGGGAATGGACCACAGGAGGGAAACACAGCTGGGGCAAATTAGAACTGACGAGACAGGGAAAACATAAACTGAACACACTAAGATAACACAGACTTTCAAAGTAAAGCAGGAAATACATAACAGTCACGCAAAAACAAAACACTGACACACCGAAACGTAACAACATACATAAGTCACTCATAAATAAATAGTTGGAAAAGAAACATGTGTAGTTGTAGCAGCAAACAGTGTGTTAAGTGGATGCGTTGTACAGGGAGATGGCCACAGGCAGGAATGATTTCCTGTGTCGTTCAGTGGTGCTTTTCGGTAATCTCAGTCTCTCACTGAACGAGCTCCTGTGACTGACCAGCATGTCATGGAGTGGGTGGGAGGTGTTATCCAACATTGTCTTTATCTTGGACAGCATCCGCCTCTCCGACACCACCTTGAGGGAGTCCAGCTCCATCCCCACAACATTGCTGGCCTTACGGATTAGTTTATTAAGTCTGTTGGCATCTGCGACCCTCAGCCTGCTCCCCCAGCATGCAACAGCATAGAGGATCGCACTGGCCACAACAGACTCATAGAAAATCCTCAGCATTTTCTGGCAGATGTTGAAGGACCTCAGTCGCCTCAAAAAATAGAGACGACTCTGGCCCTTCCTGTAAAGTGCTGTGGTGTTTTTAGCCCAGTCCAGTTTATTGTCAATGTGTACTCCAAGGTATTTATAGTCCTCCACAATGTCAACACTGACCCCCTGAATTGAAACAGGGGTCAAGTGTTTCCTGGTCTTCCTGAAGTCCACGATCAGTTCCTTGGTCTTTGCCACGTTGAGCTGCAGATGATTCTGCTCACACCACGTGACAAAGGAGTCGACCACAGCCCGGTACTCTGTCTCATCATCCCTGCTGATGCATCCAACCACCGCAGAGTCATCAGAAAACTTCTGAAGATGGCATGTCTCTGTGCAGTGGCTGAAGTCTGTGGTGTAGAGGGTGAAGAGGAAGGGGGAGAGGACAGTCCCCTGTGGTGCCCCTGTGTTGCTGATCACCTTGTCAGACACACACTGTGGGAGACGTACATATTGTGGTCTTCCTGTCAGGTAATCAACAATCCAGGACACCAGAGAAGCATCCACCTGCATCGCTGCTAACTTATCACCCAGGAGGGTCGACCTGATGGTGTTGAAAGCACTGGAAAAGTCAAAAAACATGACCCTCACAGTGCTCGCCGGCTGGTCCAGATGGGTGTAGACACGATTGAGCAGGTAGATGATGGCGTCCTCAGTTCCGAGACGAGGCTGATAAGCGAACTGAAGGGGATCCAGGTGTGGTCTTACTATGGGTCGCAGCTGGTCCAGGATGAGCCTTTCCAGGGTCTTCATGATGTGGGAGGTCAATGCCACGGGCCTGTAATCCTGGGGGCCACGTGGCGTCTTTGGTACAGGGACGAGGCATGATGTCTTCCACATCACCGGGACCCTCTGCAGACTCAGACTCAGCATAAACAGTTTATGAAAGACTCCACACAGCTGGGGGGGCACAGGTCTTGAGGACAAGGGGACTCACTCCGTCTGGTCCAGCAGACTTGCCTGAGTGAAGTCTCCTCATTTGCATCTCAATCTGGTATTGAGTGAAGGTGATGGGTGGGGGAGGGGTGTCAGGAATCTCACAGGAGGCAACAGCGCCATGTGAAGAGAGAGGCTGGCACAGTGGTGTGGCTCTGGATTCCAGGCTGACTACAGGTGAGGTTGTGGGGGTAGGAGCAGACACTGTGGTGTCGAATCTATTGAAAAACAGATTCAACTCATTGGCTCTATTCTCACCTCCCTCAGTTCCCCTGCTGTTGGTTGGCCTGAATCCAGTGATGGTCTTCATGCCCCTCCACACCTCTCTCATGCTGTTCTGCTGGAGTTTCCACTCCAGCTTCCTCCTGTAATTGTCCTTAGCCTCTCTGATCTTGTCCTTTAGTAACACCTGGATCTTCCTCACCTCCTCTTTGTTGCCCCCTCTGAAAGATTATTAAGATTTGATTTCCACAATAATTAATTAACACAATAAACACACCTTTTAACCTTTAGTGTATTTTAAAACTTTTTAAAAAACTATTAACCTGGATTTTTAATGTGTCTGCCCTCAAAATACTTGGGGGCAGTTTCTCCTCTTTAAATGTGCTCTGTACATAAAATAGACTTGACAGTCAACACAATATATTTATATATTCCTTATGTGGTGAGAGCAGGAAGGTAGTTCCTGGAGGATGATGGAATTGATACCATCTAATAGAAAACCTCTGGGACTTTATTTTTGGTCTATCCAACACCACCAGGTTACACCTCAGACTGTTTTGGGGCTCAGTGATTTCCTGGTCCATATGTGGGAGGAGACTCCAGGACTCCATTGGTTGTCTCAATAGGACCATGCCCTGATGTTGTTAGACATGCTTACAAACCTCGTTGTTTGCCTATTGTTGTTTGTTATCAACATTATCCTAGCCTAATGATAATAAGCCCCAAATCTGCTAAGTCTTTGGTGATTGATGCACTTGCATGTTTTCAGGAACAAATTAATTTCATTTATGTTTGCTGATAACACCCATAAATGTCTTGTTTAATCTCTTACTTTAGAAAATTCTGAAACTTCTGTGCTGCTATGGCTGCTAGTGTGTGCTGCCAATTTCTATTGCAAGGCTCTGTGATCTGGCTTTGTTGCAAATCAAATAAATAAATTTTAGAAAAGTAATAATCCTTTTGTTCTCATGCTTATAGCATTTAACTGTTTCCTTCTTATTATTAGCAAGAACAATTAGCTGTACAAAAACTTATAGAAACTTAGTAAATATAGAAACATGTAAAAAGTCTTGATAGCTTTCTTATTTTTTAATTGTAATGCTCCTA